TACTACTACTACTACTACTACTACTACTACTACTACTACTACTACTACTACTATAATAATACTAATGGGATTTATAGCGATTTTCTTTAAGGCCCTAAGTGCAGTACATTGTAGAATTACCATACACCCAGAGGCGTATTGCATTTCAGCGACGGCAACGAAAATATATTTCAGCAAAAGAATTATATTTTTAACAATGATTGATTACCGGTGGATAAAATGCTTTTCTTCCAAATGCTGGCAGCCTCGCGCCACGTCCAGGGACAGCCTGAGAAGGTCACGGACCGTCAGTTGTGATGGCTGGTCCTGATGAAAAAAGAGTAAGGTCACAATATACCCGCTCGCAAATCTATTGTTGCTTAACTGTTCATCACAACTTGCTTAGCCCAGATAGTAACATTTTTAGGAGAGAGAGAGAGAGAGAGAGAGAGAGAGAGAGAGAGAGAGAGAGAGAGAGAGAGAGAGAGAAAGAAAGAGAGAGAGAGAGGTGAGAGAGGCGGGAAAGGGGAGGGGGGTTCGTCCTTCTTAAAATGGTACCCTACATTATGTATCGTTTCTTTGCTGTTCTCACTATTTAGAATTTCAATGTTGACAAATGAATTTTTTGAGCACATGCAACCGATACCACAGGAAAAGAAATGGCAGTAAGGAGTAACATTTTTCTCACAAAATTTAGAGGTTAGTACATCTGATTATCTGGATGACGATATGATCTCTCTCCTAATAGATAACTATTACTGTAAACAAGAAAAACAATGTTTTACGAAAAGAGCAAAACACTATTACTTGGCATTCATCAAAACTAATTGAAGTCTGTTTTAATTTGTGCTAGTCCGAGCCAATAGCTTTTTTTGTTCTATTAGATATCTAGAATTTTCAAATGAGTGTTGGTTACTCTCGATATGCTAATTAAATCTGGATTCGATTTGTGAAGAAGTGAAAATACGAAGTTCTACTCAGAGAAAGAAACCATTCGAAATCAAGAACGATATTGAAATTGAACGTACACATAGACTTGCACAAAAACAAAGATATTCATTCATTCATTCATTCATTCATTCATTCATTCATTCATTCATTCATTCATTCATTCATTCATTCATTCATTCATTCATTCATGCATTCATTCATTTATTCATTCATTCATTCATTCATTCACTTCTTTATTGACAGACTCACCCATTTCGGTCTGGCATTTCGTAAGAAGCTTTTGAGGTCTCCGCCTTCCAGCAGCTCTAACACCAGGTAGTGAGGATGTTGCTCAAAACAGACACCAATAAACCGCACAATGTTAGGATGGTTGAATTTGCTGCAGGAACAAAGTTAAAGAAAGTGAAATGCAATACTACGTCAATCAAATAGATCAACTGGTTTCTGCATTCTTCATATCGTGAGATGTGAATATTGTTATTGTAATTAAAAGGTATATTTTCTTACCCATCGACATAGTTTAGATACTTTGGAAAGCCGGCAGCTTCGACTATGACTGTCAGGACCGACTCGGACATCCCAGCAAGCAGACGAAGACACTTGATAAAAACATTTCCCACACAGGAATCGAACCCACGTCTTCTGCGTACGACATCACTACATCACAGCGGTTGGTTTATCATGAGATGAAAGCAGAAATCATTTATCATTTAAAACAAAGGTAGCAGATATGGTTCACTGTGTTCTGTATGCACGAACTGACCCTGTGTAAGGAAGGGGTTAATGCCCATCGTCTTGTAGTAGGCTAGTGCTTCTTGCATTCACGCACTCTCAGACCCAGAGAAATGTGTCAGGGGAGAAAGATAGATTATCACTAGGCCCTAGGTGTATAATTTATTCCTCGAACTACGGGTCCCTCGAACTAACAAGGCCCGTCCCAATTAAAATCGAACTATTCGTGTTATACTGTACTTTTACAAAAGGCATTACTGAGAAGAAAACATAGCAGTATCACACAAGGGAAGGCTTTCTGCACACCTCAAAACCCTTGTTGCCTCATTTGTGAAGCACGGCTGAGCTAATGGAGATCAAGAGTGTACCTGGCGTGACACAAAAACAGAATGGGAGTTTCCATGTTCACATCTGGTTGAAGTGCCGTAAGACGGTCTTTGTGATAAAACCAAGATTAGCAGCAGCTTTAGCTATCTCTACTACAGACTGGAATTTGGGGACTCTTGGCACCCTGACGTTTACACCGTTTTTGAAGTTGCAAGTGTCAACCCAAACCATGGACAGTGGCACCAGAACGGACTGTACCCAAACAGAGAGGGCAGAGACTGCCATAGAGGGTGTGGCTTAGAAAAGGAGGGAAAGGAACTATCTTTTAGAGGAGGGAAAACGTACTGACAGACCTTTTTACTGCCCAGGAAGAGGGACTGATTAGGAATAAAGAAGTCTTTCTTTAATTTATGGCTGTGCTTTCCTCTTTTGGCAACTTGGAGTCGCATGTTTTTGAAAAATTTCCCTTAATTTCTTCTTTACTGTTGATACTACCCCTAAATTGACCTCTCTGTTGCATCACTGTTTGCTGTATTTTTGGGGGACATTTTTCTTCTTAGATATATTATATATTTGAAAAATTGGGTACCTTAACAATTAATGATTAATTGTCTTTATACAATTCAATTCATGCTCCTACCTGTTCCGGTTAGAAAGTAATGACAGTACGTTTTTTCAAGTTTTCTCAAAACGGCAAAATTTAGGGGTAAGAGTTGCGGCCCGGACTCTCCTTTAAAACACAAGTGGATGATTTCTTTTATATTTGGCCTGACTATTTAAAATTGAATTTTCTGTAATCCTAAAAGGGCTTTTTTATATCTCTCACGGATTTTGAAAAATGCAGTTTCGAGTGCTTCAGTTGATGCAAAAAATGCGAAATTTAACAGTCAAGCAATAGCTATGATGTTATCTTCAATATCTCTTTAGAGGTTTCAAGTGTCAAAAAAGCCTAATTAGGATCACAGATTTTATTGATAGGGTGCTTATGTGAAAATATAGGCATTTTAGTTAATAAAATCATTTAGCAAGAGCGCGGGCCGGTTTGGATTAAATTTGCTTCTGTACATCAAAAACATGAGAAATATTTTCAAATTCCTTGAACAAAAATTATATTTCACAATTTGATTTTCATTTTGAACTCCCAGGGTGTTTTATGATCACTCTGAATGATGCTGGGATGTGTTAATAACAACGTTAGAAATATTATCTGCTACCTACCCTTAACACAGTCAAGTTCTCTGCGTTTACTTCATTTTACAGAACAGCGGTATTTTTGTTTTGTTTTATTTTCTTAATTGGACCATTAGAATTGTTTTCCGAACTTGGGAAACGGTACAACTGGTATTATCTCCTGACTCGTTTTTACATGTTCATACAATTAAACACACACACACACACACACACA